GTTGTTTTTAGTAATGCTGTCATGCCATCCTAAACTCTTTGGAGGACTGTTGTTTTAGGTTAGAAAGCAAGTAGCAAAGAGAGAAAATAATAAGGAAGTCTAAAGAGTCAAGGAATGATAGATATTGTTCTAATTGATTTTGAGAGAAATAATACATATATGCATAATCTATGTTACACATATATTAAATATTCTATATCAATATATGTATACTAAATTATGTCTTAAAATATAGGGTTTTTTTGTTTTGTTTTGTTTTTTTGAGTTGGAGTCTCACTCTGTCGCCCAGACTGGAGTGCAGTGTCCACTTCCGGCCACCACAGCCTCAAACTGCTGGGCTCCAGCGATCCTTCCGCCTCAGCCTTCCAAGTAGCCGGAATTACAGGCATGCGCTACCACGCCCGGCTGATTTTTTGATTTATTGTAGAGATGAGGTCTTGCTGCCCAGGCGGGTCTCGAACCCACGGGCTTAGGCAATCCACTCACCTCAGCCTCCCAAAGGCACGGGATTACAGACTGAGCCACCGAGTCTGGCCAAAATATAGTTTTAAAATATGTAAATGTTAAAATTGTATCTGCTGCTTTTGGAATCAAGTGACATTTCATTTTGCTTTTGATTCTTAGGTGGTAACTTCACCAGGTGCTGCATAGATGAGATCATGAAACTCTTATCTTTGAATGGTTAATCTATACTCTGAATAAACTCACATTTTTTTTAACAAAAATGGTTCAGAGGGTTTAGAAAATTTACTTTTACATCAATTTTGGTTTGCTTTAGCACATAGGTTTGATTTGATATCTACTTCTGGTGTTATTAGCAAAAGAAGAAAAAGTATTTAAGATCCCACTATATTTATGGAAAAAATATCAAAGAAAAAAAGTATTACAGTGTTAAATCATCTTGTGTCTTATTCAAACATGTAGGCAAAAAAGCAAAAGTAAATATCATTCACAGAGATTGACTTTCCACTTGCAAAAAGAAGTTCTTAGTTTACTTTTATTTTTATTTTTCACCATACAAATGCAATGGCACAAACAGAAGCAGTGTGTTGCTGTGCCCTTGTACTTTGCAATGTTATTTCCCTTGAACTTTTTAAAAGTAATTTTATTACTACAAAGTCAGTTCATGAAGGCAATTGTCTACTTTTTAAAATTTAGGAACTTCATATTCTGTGCTTGTTTTTATCTGTTATTATTAAGATAGTGATGTCAATTTTTTAAAAAATTAAGAAACGTGCACTGTCAACTGTACCAGTAGCCTCTAACAATGAAATATAGTCATACAAAACTTAACTAAGGTATAAACATGCAAAAGGAGAAGTCTCCCTGCAATCATAAAATGATGTTATTTTCTGTTCAGCAGTTCATGTTACTGCTGTTCATGCTAATTAATTAAAGGAGCTGTTGCAGTAATGTGCAAACAGGGAATCTGAGAAACTGAGAGGGCTTTTAGGTCTCCAAGTGAAGTAAAGTCAATCTGGGCGCGGGCAATCAAATGTAATGAAATCACTTGTCAGTGCTAAGCTTGCAAAAACTGAAGTTTGACTAGGGAGTAAAAGGATTATAATTAGATTTCCAATAGGATAATAACTAAATGGCAGACCGCAGTAAAGAGAAAATATTACTTTGTTGGCTAATGGTACTGCTGTTCGGTTTTAGTTTTTATCAGCTCACTTGTAGTTGTGCTAATTTAATTTGCTTTTATCAGCAAAAATGCACTACGCAAATGGCACTTGAATGTCATTTGCAAAAATCATTGATCTGAAGGTGCACTTAATGACACCCAGTATGTTTATTTTATGTGAAACAGAGATTAGTTGATAAGATGGTTGATGTGCCATCTTGCAGGGCCCCAACTGAGTTAGAGGAATCTGAATGGGTTGACATTAGTGTATATGCTCCACCTAATCCTTCACCTCTAGAGAGAGTGGGCACAGCCACTGGAGTATGTATTCATTGTTTGGTCACCTGAAAACATTCAGTAGGAGTTGCTATAGTAGACTGCTAAAATATAAGTGTACAGTATCCTTTTATTGGAAGGTGGTCTATGCATGATATTTTGCCTGTCAAATATTCAAAGCATAGAAGAAATGTAAAAATCCTGGTGCACAAGCAGTTTGTCTGCTACACTAATATCCATGTGGAAATCATCTCAAAACTGGATATGAATTTTATTTATTTATTTTTTTTTGCTCCTACGGGTGACCATGCAACATTTTTAAGGAGATGTCACAGTGGAATTAATTGAATTTCAAAGTGAGAGCAGTAGGTGAATGATAGATTTCTACCCAGCAGAGCTATTGGCAATAGGAAAAGAAAGGGCTTCACTAATACTAGAATTATTTGCTGTGATGAAGATGAGTTTGGAAATAGCATTGTAAATTAACCCACACAAACAATGGTAGGAAATATTCTTCCCAGTTAAAAAAATATGTACATGAGGGAAGTGGAAAAGATGAAAACAATATTAAAATAAGTCACAAAAGAAAAGAACTATAGCACATAAAAGCAAAAGTATTAGGAAGAATGAAAAATAATGGTTTAAGCTTGCATTTCATGTTCTCCAAGCATTATACGTTTTCTGAGGTACATAGATATACATAAAAGTAATGTTTCAATCCTGAGCATCTCAAATATTAGGCAAAATAATTGGAATTTTTAAGGCAATTATTTGAGTTTATTTATTTGGTGAACTATATTTAAGATTAGTTCTGATAATATTTCCAGGCACCTATTTCCCTAACAGGAAAAATCATTTTTGCCAGAAAAATCCTGTTTTTGATATTACATTGTGATTCTACTGTCATATTAACACAAAACTTTCACTCTAGTGATGATGGGAGCTTTATCATTTACATTTATTTACATTATCATTATTTATTTATATAGTATTTACATTATCATTTACAATGCTTAAATGCTGTGTTAAGAATGGAGAGAATGTGTACTTTTCCATTTTTATCACATTTACCAAGGACATTATTTAACATAATCTAAAAGGCAGACATCCAATGACGAATCATTAACCCACCATATTTTACCATTTATATACAATATTAACCACAAATACTAGACACTTCCATTTGTAATTTGGAAAAAAATAATAAAATGTAAGTCCCTTGCTGTAAAATAAGTGCCATCCCAATCCTTTTAAAGGCATATCTAATTCTCTCATATTTAGTCAGCAAATAGTAGTAGAACTTATTAAAAGTATGCACAGTGAAAACAAATATTAAATGTGTCCTGCCCTAAGTTCAAGTTTATATGTAAAAGCTGTTCTTTGCAGATTTTATTTTAAAAAATTGGAACCAAATGAAGAGAGACTCTGCCTTTTGCTTATATCACCTAGTTAACTACCCATGAATAAAATATCATTGTTTGTTGCATGGAAATAAAATAATTTTAGGACAGTTTAAAAGCTTGAATTTATCTCAGAATTGGGAAAGATTCTACTACTCTGAACTAAAGGCATTATTAAAATTAAACAGCAGTGAACTGAAGGTACAGGGCTAAAGGATAATAAAGGGAAAATTCACTTTGGTTTACCCACTCCAGTTTCAAAGCTGGCCTTGCATCCCACTCAAAGCAGGGCACAATTAAGCTCAATGCTCCTTAAAGACTGTATCCATATTTGTGTGCCACTGATTCAGAAGAATCAAAAGCTTCCGGCTATTCATCCCTACCATGGCTGGCCCTATTATGTGATGGCAACCTTAAATACCAGACCCACAACTAGTGGGACTTTTCTTTAGAAAATTTAGCTGTGGTGAATTGATTGAACAAACATTGATTCCCATTCAAATTGGTTTTACGCACATAGTCACAGCCTTTAAGCTGAGGGAAGAAAGCAGGCAAAAAAAGAGGGGGAGGGGAGGATAAGAAACAGGAAAAGCTTCATTGAATGAGCTAAGTAACATGCATGCTTTCATACCTAACATAGTTAATGCATTAGTTAGGTATACCCAGCTGCAGAAGAATCAGGATCACCAGAAGATCCATGAGCTCTAACTCTCCTAGTTTTATAAAGATAACTTATAAAACTACATGTATGGGGATTTCTAAATTGCATCAAGCTGCCACATAAAATGGTAACCCTCAGATGAACCCAAATGGATCTGTTGGTTACATCCAGTTCTGTTGCCTTTATGTAGATTCAGTCATCACACAGTAGAAAGGCAGTGATTAATTCCAGCAAGCAGCATATTCATGGTTGTCTTCGTTTTTTCAAAGTTAGAAAATAGTTTTCTCATGAAATATATTTTCTTTTCTATTAGAGCAAAGCGTTTTCTCACAATAAATGTGAAAATAAATTTAATATGCATAAAGGGCTAGAAAAGTGCATTGGAATCACACTAGAACATTTCCAGGGGTCAAATCTAACTCATACTTTTTGGTGCTTTTGTACTTCAGTGAGACTCTATGCTGATTTCTTTCATCTGTTGTCTTACTACTAAATGTTTTTAAATATTTTAAAAGGTTCAAACATTTATTGTAATCATGAGTTATAAGTCATGCTCTTATTTTCATACTTAGGTAATTTCTAAATTTAACATTTAAATTTAAAAGTTGGTTAAAAATGTTGTCTAGAACACCTTTAAAATATTGATACTTTACAATTATACAGTAATTTTACAAACAGTGAAGTAGTAGAGTTTTTAAAAACTCTTAGTATTGTACACTTCTAAAAGATAAATTGCATCCACATGTATGCGTTTTTAGAATATTCCTCATGTATAAATGTATATCTTTTTAACAGCTAAACATAATTTGATCACACTGTATATGCAAAATTACTGGTCCCTACTCATCTGTACTGTTGTTGGGTTTTCAAAGATATTAGTATTTTGTTTTTCTCAGAGAACACTGCAAATTGCTTCATAAAGTAAAGAATAGTTAAAAATGTATTTATTTTACTTACATGATAAGTATCAACATAGAGACTCATTCCCACCCCATCCCCAGGGAAGAAGCTATAGAAAGAAATATGCTGTTGACTATACCTTTTATAGCAGCACTATCATGAGAAGTCCCATTGTTTTCTATTTCAATATCTGGAATTCCAGGATCTAAAAGAAGTGACATTCAAGATTAAGGTACAATTCTGTTTCCTGATTTAATTTTTTTTTACATGTTTCATTTTACTTTAAAAAAATTTTATTTTAGAGTTGTGGGGTATATGTGAGAACATACTACAACTTACATAAGTTAGTTGCATGCAGATAACAGGAGCACAAGGCTGGAAAGAGCTGACACTGGCCACTGCTAGGGAAGGGAGGAAAGGAGGAGGAATGAGGGACACACAGCAACACACTGAGTACCAGGTCCACTATCAGAGGGAGAGAAGGTCTGCTAGAAGTCCAAACTTTTGCTGATTCTATTTAAAGGGAAAACTCCAATAAACCAGTACTTGGGTCCTATAGATGACGTAAAACCTTGGGTGGCATTGTTTTTGTATCTATTTGTTTTTAAAATTATAAGGGAGGATTATAAAATAACCCTAATGAAATTCTCAGTTGAATATATATTTCCAGGTATTCTTTATACATTTAATTCTCTAAAAATAAGTCTTAGGAAAATAATCTGTCTGTAAAAATCCCCTAAGACTATCAGGCTAACAGTTGACTGCAGAACAAGTGAAAAATGAAGGATACAACTGCATAAGTGGAAGTGCCCATTCTTATGGTATATTTTCCATTTGTAGGATATGATAAATGATCCATTATATTATTTCTATGAAAAGTGAAGACCAAAATATACAGTATGGTTTATGATCTTTATGTAGTGTTGGCTCTAGGGGCAAATGTTTACTACTGAGCACTTCAGATATGTTCCAAAATATTCAGGTGATATTAAAAGGTCCTCTTTGTGTATGTATATACTCATATTTAATTGAACATTTACTTGAAATTGGGTCTGAATGAGAAGAAACAATGTTATGGAGTTTCAGAATTAAAAATGGAATCAGAAAAGTTTGGAATGAAGGGATTTCATGGCTATTGCTTTATTAAACTCTGGTGTGGCCATGTGTTCTTTGAGCTATGGCTGATGCCATGTTTTCTAAGATTTGGTCCCCTCTCCTACCTTGGAGAGGTGAATCGCCTCTCTCTTCTTTCTCTCCAATTTACTTTCTAAATAACCTATATTTTCTAATCTAAAAAAAGAAGACATAGAGATTCCATGATATAAGCACCTCCTCCTGCAGGATTTCCTGGGATTTACTTAGAAGTTCTTTTTCAACCAAGCACTCCTTAAGCACCTCAACACTGATGCAATCTGCATTAAAGGAACCAGCATCCTCTAGTTTGTCAAAATACAGTTCCCCAAACAATAGCATATTGTAACATGCATACACCTAAAGCATTTACTTTTAAGTGCAGGAAGGTATCAGTGTTATTGCTTCTGCTTTAAGTGCAGGAAGGTATCAGTGCTATTGCAAAAGTGTAAGTGCAGGAAGGTATCAGTGTTATTGCAAAAGTCAGAAGGATTTCCTGTTATTCCTAGGCTATTTGTATCTCGCATAACAGGGATCATTTCGACTGAGTGTAATTCGTGACTTAAAACGCTTGGCCTCAAATTAATTTTTTAATCACTCCTGGACCAAGTTTTCTCGCTTTCCCTCCCTCCCTTTCATTCTGTCTTTCTATTCTTTCTTAAATCAGTTTTGTGTTGTTTACCTTGAACGTAAAAATTCAAAACAGACATTACCTTTTAACATCCGCAGGCCACCGTCAATAGTGGTGACTTGCTTAAGTGCCTGCTCCACTTGCTCCCGGCGCTTGGATTCAAATTCTAAGGCTTCTTGCAGTTTTCTCTTGGCTTTTTTCTCCTTCTTCAGGCGCTTTTGCATGGTAGCTGAAATGTAAAAATGTAGTTTGTAAAGACGTATTCAATGCAATAGGGTTTCCAGTTTTGATATAGGTATAGATACAGAGAAAAACATAAATGTTTCAATTGACATATAATTAGCTTTTGGGAGATACCAGTTCTCATTAGGCTCTTCCACAAAGTGCTTTTTTAACTGTAGTTGAATCGCATAACTGACTTATTTTTATTTTCACATTTCCAGTGTGTATGCTTTATAATACACATGCTTTTGTGTGGTGGTGGCAGAGGGGTTGGAGAATTGTTTTCTACTTTTACTCTCTACATGCATTTAACGATAGCATTAAATATACTGTAATTATCTTAGGAAAGCTATTCTTATTATTCATCGGGTTATTGGTTGCTACTCATACTTCAAAATGCAAAAATAAAACCCTGAAAATATCTATTGGGCTACAAAACATGGTCTTTAAAACTGAAAATGGCGTGCCTATTTTTTTTGAAATGTTACCAGTTATAAAGACAAACATCAATCTGTTTGTTTAAATAATGCATATACCATCAGTCTCTCTCTCTCACTCTCTCTCTTTCTGTGTGTCTGTGTGTATTTATGTATTTATATATAATTATGGTCAGTCATTGACATTTTGTTCAATGATGGACTGTATATACAATGGTGGCTCTATAAGATTATAATAGAGCTGAAAAATTTCTATCACTTAGTGATGTAGCCATTCCAACATTGTAGTACAACACGTTATTCATGTGTGTGTAGTGATGCTGGTATAAACAAACATACTATGCTGCTAGTCATATAAACAACAAACTGTTCAGCAAGGAAAATACTATTATTGTCATTTTATAGACAAAGAAACAAAGTCCTTGAGAGATCAAAAAATGTACCCAAGATCATACAGCTACTAGTTTTCAAAGCCTGAGGACCAAAGATCACATAAGCAATTTTTCCAAAATATAAGGACCAAGGCAAGTTCAAGGGTCAAGGGACCAAGACAAGTTGTGATCTGCAAGGTTTCTTGCAGCTCTATCATTCTGATTTTGGGTGTTTAATCAGCAAAGAATATTATTGTGTATGTATATGTGTTTTTAATCCAAGTAGCACAGTCTGGTTAGGAACAGCAAAGTAATTGGGATAATTTTTTAAGCGTGTAATGTTGCTTTCTTTGTTTGAAAAAATGTCATAGGGATTTTGTAAATACATATGTAGTTTTACATATTTATATACATATATAGTTTTACATATATATACATATATAGTTTTACATATATATACATATATAGTCTTTATATGTAGTTAGTTATATTCTTCAAATGTATAATACATATTCACAAATACTATACAAGTATATGTTTTATATAAATATATATGTATATGTGTGTGTGTGTGTGTGTGTGTGTGTGTATGCATGGTAGCTGAAATGTACACACACACACACACATACACACTCTTCTTACTATATCCTTGGAGAGATGATACTTTATATGCATAACATCAATTTTTCCCTCTATGGTTTCCATAATGTGACTTTAGATAAAGAGTTTACCCTTTGTCACAGAAAGTTGTTTACACTGGATATGAGATAGTTAAGGAAGTAGAAAGGAATTTAGGTGATTATCTAGAACAACTATTGTAATTGGTGGAGGACACTGAGTTTCCTAGAGATGAAGTACATAGTTTTCATAAATCAATGAGGCTAACAGTAATTTCTTCTTATTATATTAGTCATTAGATTTAAAATGCTAAAAACAGTGTTTAATAGGTAGTAGACAGTTGATAATCAATAGCTAGTAGTAGTAGTAGTAGTTACAAAAATGACAGCAGTAGCAATAATAACAATAGTAATACTATCATATTTACAATGTATAATTCAAATACATAATTACATATAATTATATATAATTATTATATTGTAATAAATGCTAAATTTATTAAATACAAATACTTCACAGTAAAATTGATACTAAGTATAACATTATATCCACCATGTCTAGGACTTTTATAGGACAATAAATATAATATCACTTATAAATACAGACCATAGTTCTATGAAAAGTTAGTGAACAGAAATCAGAATGAGTAGATCCTTAAATGTTACAAGGCAATTTAACTACATGTAGATTTTCATAAGTCAATTTGAGAATCTTATTATATTTAGCATATAATTTTGTTATTTTAATATAAAAATATCTCTACTAAATAAATTCACTTAACCCTTTATTTTTAAACCAAATATCAGAAATTTACTGATTTGTCCAAACTTTAAACAAAATGTAGTCTTTGCTTTTTTATACGTAATGAATTTGGCAATTTGTGAAAACAGGTTTAATTCTTTTTAAATGTAATGAATGAATTTCTATTTTGAAGAGAACCAATTATTTCTAGGCCCTAAGAAAATATATAGGGACTTCCAACAAGATGGCGACGGGGCAACCCGGTCTATGAAACCTTCTGCAAAGGAGAACTGCAGTTGGTCTCTGGCTCTCTCCCTGGGGGCTGCGGACCCCAACATCGCAGCCTGCTCTTCACACAGAACTCGGCCGTTGCCACCGCTGGGGCATCGCAGTGGTCTGAACAACCACTGCAGCGCAGACACACCAGCCACCAGCAGCGCCACCGTGGCCTATGTGGCGGCCATAGCACATCGCACCACCCAAGCCAGAGGTGATCCACGACTTCAGTCCTTGAAGCCCATGCAGGCAAGATCTGCTGGGATCGCTGCCACCTCTCCTATAACCATGACATCCTGCCTGCCATGGGTCTCCTCCTGGGTGCCCTCAGGCAGGCTTCCATCTCCAGCTTCTGCCAGTTCCTGTCCAGCCCCACGCCCTCTGGGGCGAGCAGCTGAGATAGCACCACCTGCTGGTGATTCAAGGTAACAACACCGAAACAGGAGAAACGAGCTTGAAAAACAGACACAGGCCAGAGTGGCAAACGGAGGGTGATCTGAACTGTCCTTCACAGCAGGCCAGGGGCAACTGACCCTAATGCGAACTAATTTACCAGCTTGAAAAGAAAGTTAGAAATCAGAGCTGAAAGGACATTGGACTTAAATGAAAAGTCTCAGAGTGTGCTTGATTGGTTCTGTTAGTTTAATGACTTAATTCTATTCCTACTGTATTGTTCCTTTTTTTTCTCTTTTCCTCTTCCTTTAGTTCTCTTTTCTTCTCTCTGTAAATCATATCTTTGTATAGAGGAACAGCACACCAATAAGGTGGTTGGGTAGCTTGTATGTTAGCATCATTGTATGTTTTATTTTTTTTTGTATGGGAGTTGGTTACTCTGTAGCTGTGGTCTATTGTTTTTATCTGTTTCAGTATAGGTCTCTCTCTCTCCATTTGTTGGTACACTCGTTTGTTTTCCCCTTACTCCTCTATCTCTCCACCCCCCTCTTCAACCCACTATCTGCTCCATTCTCTTCCCTCTGCTAACCACCTTTTATTTCAGGGAGTAAACCTACAGCCCCACTGCACGGACAGATCCCAAGGCAGTGGAGAGTGGGTCTCAGATTATCCATACACCTGTCAGCGAATACCAGGACCTGCAGATAGATTTTAATTACAACTCCCCACTTAAGTAAATCTCAAAACTGCAAAAAGGACCACCTCCAACCTACAGTGCAACTTCAGAATTGAAAAAAGTAAGAGGGCATACATAAAGAATAGGAGATTGAACAAACAGAAGTAAAACCAATCCCTCTACCCCTGAATAACAGAATTAAAGAAGACGGTTACAAGGAGGGAAGGAAAAAGCAGGGAGGGGGAAAAAACAACACAAATGAAGAAAAACCAAAAGAAGAATATAGGTCTCACACAGATCCCTGGGTGATCAGACACTGAGAAAACAGATTCTGGAACCCAAACAGTGAAGAGCCCCCAGAATGACTGGTCACATGCAACAAAACCAGACATCAAGACATTAATAGAGAGAATTAAAAAACTGAGGAGAGACAAGAGGAAAATAGGAAGGAGCTGATGTCAGAAATAACAGCAGTGAAGAATTCTGTGATGGAAATAAATAACAAACTAATAAGCATGGAAAGCAGAATTAGACAAGCAGAAGAAAGAATCTCAGAGCTCGAAGACCAAAACACAGAACTAACTCAAAATGTCAAAAGCATAAAAAAGAAGCTCAAAAAGACAGAACAAAACCTGCAAGAGATGAAGGATTACTTCAAGAGACCGAACTTAAGAGTAATTGGGCTTCCTGAGGCAGAGAGAGAAACAGACACCACACTGGAAAAAACATTTCATGAAATCATTCAAGAAAACTTCCCTCATCTCATCAAGGATGAAAAAATTCAAACACAAGAGATTCAGAGAACCCCTGAAGGACAACAAATGAGAAGACCAACTCATAGACACATAATAATTCACCTAAACAAAGTATCTATAAAAGAAAAAATCCTAAAGACAACAAGAGAAAAAGGCCAGACTACCTACTAGGGAAGACCAATTAGAATAGCAGCAGGTTTATCCATAGACCCTTCAGGCTAGGAGAGCCTGAAGCCCTATCTTCAAAGTTCTCAAAGATAAACAATTTCAACCAAGAATAACCTATCCAGCCAAACTAAGCTTCATTAGTGAGGGAGAATTGAAAT